TTTGTTGGTGATGTTGTTGTTGTTGATGTAGTAGTTGTTGCTGTAGTTGTTGTTGCTGTAGTTGTTGTTGATGTAGTTGTTGTTGCTATAGTAGTTGTTGATGTTGTTGTTGATGTAGTAGTTGTTGCTGTAGTTGTTGTTGCTGTAGTAGTTGTTGCTGTAGTTGTTGTTGCTGTAGTTGTTGTTGCAATAGTTGTTGTTGCTGTAGTAGTTGTTGATGTTGATGTTGATGTAGTTGTTGCTGTAGTTGTTGTTGCTGTAGTTGTTGTTGCTATAGTAGTTGTTGATGTTGATGTTGATGTTGATGTAGTTGTTGTTGCTATAGTAGTTGTTGATGTTGATGTTGATGTAGTAGTTGTTACTGTAGTTTTTGTTGCTGTAGTTGTTGTTGATGTTGTTGTTTGCAGATGGCTTCAAGCAGCTGCTGAACCGCGTGCTGACAGAGTCGGGCATCTTCGCACTGAGCGATCGCACGATGTTTGGATCACCCGAGCTGTCACAGCTCACTGCCGTGCTAGCAATGGTCATGAAGGAGCCCAGCAACGACGCCAACTCGCTCTCCTTCCTTGACTTGTTCTTCCTCGCTGACACGCACCTCTGGAAGGGTGAGTAGCTTGTGCGTGCACGTGCGGCGTGAGAGACCTGCGATAGAGGGCACGGCACGCAGGTGCGTGGTGAGCTGGAAAGTCGCACTCTGCGTGAGAGGTGCGCACGGCCTAAGAGAGCAGTGGTAGGGAGCGTGCAGTGGTGAGTGTGAGAGGTGCATGTGGTGTGACAGAGCGACGGTAGAGAGCGTGCAGTGGTGAGTGTGTGAGGTGCATGTGGTGTGAGAGAGCGACGGTAAGGAGCGTGTAGTGGTGAGTGTGAGAGGTGCATGTGGTGTGAGAGAGCGACGGTAGGGAGCGTGTAGTGGTGAGTGAGAGGTGCATGTGGTGTGAGAGAGCGATGGTAGGGAGCGTGTAGTGGTGAGTGTGAGAGGTGCATGTGGTGTGAGAGAGCGACGGTAGGGAGCGTGCAGTGGTGAGTGTGAGAGGTGCATGTGGTGTGAGAGAGCGACGGTAGGGAGCGTGCAGTGGTGAGTGTGAGAAGTGCATGTGGCGTGAGAGAGCGATGGTATGGAGCGTGCAGTGGTGAGTGTGAGAGGTGCATGTGGTGTGAGAGAGCGATGGCAGGGAGCGTGCAGTGGTGAGTGTGAGAGGTGCATGTGGTGTGAGAGAGCGATGGCAGGGAGCGTGCAGTGGTGAGTGTGAGAGGTGCATGTGGTGTGAGAGAGCGATGATAGGGAGCGTACAGTGGTGAGTGTGAGAGGTACATGTGGTGTGAGAGAGCGATGGCAGGGAGCGTGCAGTGGTGAGTGTGAGAGGTGCAGTGGAGAGCACACAGATGCGCGGCTAGTGTGAGCAGGGTGGGGGGCGGATTGATCCGGTTATTGATCGCGACCCAAGTGGATGTGACACTCACATGCAGCAAGGCTACGCGTGACATGCAACATGCTAATGCATGATGCAACGCATAGCAAACGCGCACACACAACACAACAAACTCATGCTGTGTGCAACACACAACACACAACAAACACCTGCACAACACGACAAACTCGTGCACTGTGCAATGTGCAACTCTGGTCGTCGCATGGCGTCATCGTCACCCGTTGTTTTGCAGCGGCGCGCGTGCAGTGTCACCAGCTGTTCATGGGCAGTCTGCTGATGGAGCAGAACAGCAAGAGACGCTTCGCCATAATCTTTGCCAAGAACTACCCGAAGCTGATCGGAGCATTCATCAAAGACGACCACGACCACACGATGTCCATCACATCGCTCTCCGTGCAGATATTCACCGTGCCCACGCTGGTACGTTTACAGCCCCCACGCTGGTACGTTCACCGTCCCCCACGCTGGTACGTTCACCGTCCCCCACGCTGGTACGTTCACCGTCCCCCACGCTGGTACGTTCACCGTCCCCCACGCTGGTACGTTCACCGTCCCCCACGCTCGTACTATCACCGT